CGCTTTTGCGTGCATTCAGCCATTGTTCATTCAAGACTGAAAGAAAGAGGCGCTGAAACAAGGCATACTCCTCCCCTCCCGTCCCCCGTTCTTTCTATACAGCGCTCAGTCTGCGATGGCCCGCGTCGACACGCTACCATTGCATCAGCGCTGCCATGGTCAAGATACGGACGCAGCCGCTGACGGAATCCGTCGGAGCTGGCAGCGTGTGTTTTGAGAGAGTGTGAGAAATGGGAGGGTAGGCGTAGCCTGATCATGCGGTCTCGTTTGTTGCTGTGTTCGCGTCTACAGGGTTGGCCATAAATATAGCGACAAGGTTTTCACCTTATATCTCAGAAAGCAAAAGTGCAAACGAGTCATGAACATAACATTTATTAAGTAACAACTGGTACATTAACAATCATAAGTTACTTCTCGATTCGGCCACCTTTGGCACGGACGACAGCGCGGAGTCGCTTGGGAACCGGACGCAGGAGTGCGTCGTCGATTTCGTCCCATTCTCGGATGAGCGCTGCCTTCAGAGAATCCAAATTGGGGTGGGGAGTGGCGCAGGCCTTGCTCTCAAGGTAGGACCACAAGTTATAGTCCAGTGGGTTCAAATCCGGTGACGATGCCGGCCATTCTTCTGCCGAGATGAAGTCGGGGAGTTCGCTCTTGCACCACGCTTGGACGACCTTGGCCTTGTGGGCGGGCGCCGAATCTTGCTGGAATGTCCACGGGCGGCCGTTGAAGTGGGAATTCGCCCACGGGAGTAGAGCATCTTCCAGAATCGTCTTCAGGTAGTAATCTTTGTCGATTTTGACGCCGGGGTCGACGAATATCAACGGCGTCTTCCCCGAGGCACACACCCCTGCCCAAACCATGACTTGGGCAGGGTGTGCGGCCCGGTGAACGACTCTTCCCTTCTTGTCGGCTTCCTCGGCATTCCTTGCGATCACTCTGACGTTCTGAGCGTTGAACTGCTGCTCGACGGTGAAGAGCTTCTCATCCGAAAAGACGATCGAATGGTGGCCCTTGTTGCGCGTCCGAAGCAAAAGCTGTCGGCACTTCTTGACTCGCGCCTGCTGATTCGAGGCGCTGAGGATAGCAGCCTTCCGAGTACGGTAGGGGTACATCTTAAGGTCTTCGTGGACGACCCTTTCCATTGACTTCCGCGAGATTCCCATGTCGCGAGCCATCGTCGAGATGCTCCGAGTCGCGTTTCTTGCTATCCGCTTTCTGACGGCCTCGACGACCTTCGGCGTGCGAGCAGTACGAGGTCTTCCACTTCTTCGGCGGTCTTGGAGTCCACCAAGGTCTCGATAACGTTGGAGTGTGCGATACACGACGCTGCGGTGGATGCCGAGGTGCTTAGCGATCGTGGCGGGTGGGCGGCCGGCTTTGTGCAGACGAACGATAGCGGAACGATCAGGAGAAGGCTTCACCATTTCACTATGAATGGACCAAA